ATTGCAATTCTTAGAGCCTTGAAAATAAAATAAAGACGACATTAGGATCAAGGTAATGAAGTGAACAACCAGAAAACACACATTAAAATTTCCATTTTGACCCTAAAAAAAAAAAGCACATAGGAGGCAGCCACATTGACTCTGAGGCTCCAGTGGAGGATACCACAGCCCAAAACCCCGGCAGGAAAAACTACTGACAATGTAAATTCAAATGGATAATCTTAACTTTTGAGTGAACAGTAGAATCTCGGGATAGTGATGAAGGTGTTGGGGTGGGTCAGAAGTAAGTTAGAACTGCAATTTGGCGGTTGGGGGGTGGGTAGCTTAGTCACTCTTTGGTCTTCTAGAGCTTCAGGTAACGTTGGTGTGCAGGTTACAAATGCAGAGCTGGATCATGGGCCTGGAGACAGCAAGTGTAGGAGGAATGGAAAGCTGGCAGGGCTTAAACGCTTGTCAGAGCTTAACCACAGGTGTAGCCAAACATAAATCAACAGCTCTTTCTCAGAGGAGTAGAAAATAAATTATTCTCCCTGAAGAGTGCAGCTCTCTACATTTCAGAATTGGGAAGGTTCCATCCTGCCAGCCCACCTCAGCCCCTTGAACATAGAGGACTTAGCCCTTCAGAAGGGAGACTCACAGAATTAGCAGACTTAGAGTTCAGTAGATGCTGCCCACAACTGCATGTAATAACTAATAAACCTGGCCTTGAAGTTGAATATCAGTAGACAGCCAGACATCCTCAGACAGGAGGGAGCAGCAAAGTAAGTGATGTAAAAAACTACAGAAGGAGCAGGTAATTCAGGGACCAGAGGGGGACTTACAAGAACTGCAATTAAGAATCATTTCTAACAAAGAAACAAGCCGAAACTGTTTTTCATTTCATCTTTTACTTTTTACTCTAAAATAAACGTAGATGAATAGGATGTTGTAAAACCACTGTAGTAATCTTTCACCTTCTCTTCCATAGGAGAGTTGCATCTTGCCTAACTAGCATCCAAGGTCAGAGCCAAGAAATCAACCTGTGTTAATGTGTGAAGTTCTATACTAGATTTTACTTATTTATTTATTTGCAATATTGAGGATGGAGTCCAGGGTCTTACTCACGCTAGGCAAGTGCTTACCACTGAACTATATCCCCAACTCTCACTAAGTTCACCAGGTTAGCCTTGAACTAGTTCTGTAGTAAAAGTTGGCCTTGAGTTGTCTTTTTTTTTTTTAATTAATGAAAGGATTACTAAAATTAAAAGTCCAGATATGGTTCTGAATGATAGAATGGGTAAAATCAAAGACCAAACTAGGCATAGTGTGGTGGTGTGCACGTGTAATCCCAGCACTCAGGAGGCTGTGGCACAAGAATCATGAATTCGAGGACAGCCTAGGCTTATAGTACACAGTGAGATCTGTTTTGAAAAAGAAAAAAGATCAAATAGACATCTGGAAAATACAGACAAAAGAGAGAGGGTAAAAACTCCTCTAGAATGTGGTACAAAATACGGACATGGAAAATAAAAAATTTAAGGGGCATGTGGGATTAGTCCAGCATGTCTAATACCTATTTAAAAGGAGTTCCCTGGGCAGAAGAATTAGGAGAGAAAGACAGAAAACAAGAGTGGAAGATGGTCTTCTCCTTTGCAACATGGGATACCTTGCAGATACTCAGGAGAGATCTAGGACCACAGTGATGTTCCCAGGCACACTAGTATCCAGGAAGACAAAGTACATTGCCATGCGAAGACTGGAAGGTTACCCTTCATAAAACTTCTCTGCTACAAAATGAAGAGTGAACTTGAGGACAGTGTGGGATATTTGAAGCCGTGCTAACAAAGAAAATTTAGCCCTGTGAATTGATCTAAATTGTTGCTGACTGTGGTGCATGTATTTATCATAAAAGAAGGGTTGTTGGGAAACACATGAAGGAAAGGGTAGGAGAGAAAGTGTACTACCATCCTCATCTTGCTGGAGGAGGGTATAAATGATGCTAGATGTGCTCCCGTGGGATATATGCATGTAATGCTTAAATAAATGTATTCAGTCAAGAAAGGGAAGAGGTCAAAAGGGAAGTAAGTGGAAGCAGAAGAAGTGGGCACACATAGGGCATGAGAAATAAGTCCAGGAGCTGCCAGAAAGGAAAGTGGATCCCATGTCCTGAGTAAAACCCTACATTTGTACTGAGGTTTATTTATTTATTTTTATTTTATATGTATCCATGTATTGCCTGCATGTATGTAAGTGTACCCATTTTGTGCAATACCCATGGAGGACAGAAGGCTGTCAGATCCCCTGGAACTGGAGTTACAGACAGTTGTTAGCTGTCATGTGGGTGTTGAGATTCGAACCCAGGTCTTCTTCAAGAACAGCTGGTGCTTTTAACCACTGAGTCATCTCTCTAGCCCCTTGCACTGAGTTTTAAAAGAAAATTTAGTCATCTTCAGTTTGATAAAAGTGACAGAGAAATTGGAAGAGAACAGACTGAAAATAGGTTCCTGACAAGTACTGAGTTATTAGCAAGCAAAGGGCAATTAATATCTGACTAAATGGAATTCATGAGTTAAAGTAGCCTTATTTTGTAAATTTACTATGGAAATATCATCAACTAACCTCTTTGTATTACAATGTAACACTCTCTTTCTCTTGCAAGCTCTCAGCTTAAAAAGTCTGAACAGAACATGAGATATTCTCCATCCTAACAAAGAACTTTATCACAGAAGCTGACCTGTAGGTGGATCATATTGATAAAAAACTATAAGCAGAATTTGGAAACGTTTGGCCTTGACCTAAAATAAATATTATTGTTTAAAGCATAAATGGAGAAACACAAAAGTTGTTACTACTAATGGAATACTTAGGAAAATTGACGACTCAGGGCCCCAAAGCTGTCTTGATTTGCCAGATCACATTTTCCTTTTGTTCCAATGATTTCTGCAGTTGCTGGCCCCCTTGAAGACCTAGAATTGTTTTTGTTGGCTGAGGAGCACCCCATATTGTTTCTGTTGCAGGGGTGGTGGATGGCCAGCAGGGCTACATATGAGTACATTAATCTCAGTCTCATCCTTAAAGAATCAGACAGGCGGCCTGCCCTCTTCCTGTTGAGGACCTAGAAGACACATCCCTGTCTTCTAGTCTCTTTCCCTCCATACTCAGGCCACTTCATCAACATGACCTCAGCCTTTTGAAGGCAGGGAATGACCAGTCATATTGAGTCAGATTCTTTGGCCACCCTGACTCGGAAAATCAGCAACTCTCTAGTGACCAGCTCTTTGTAGAACTGGTGGCTGGCCTGGCTGTGTTTTACAGCAGCTGGTTTTCTGGATTCACTATCAGAAGTCTTCTCTCCACAAAGATGTCCATAGTTGCTCCTGTGCTCTGTCATCCATTAGGATTATGGGAGTTGCAGATGGAGATGATTGTGTTTTTGTTTGGGTTGCAGGATTTCTAGCATCCCCCACACCACCATTCCAATTTGCCAGACAGCTTACTAAGTAGTCTGTTTCTTTGAGCATTTTTATTCTGGCATTTTTGTTCTCCTAATCGTATGTTTTCTTCCTACTCTCCTCCAGTACTTTTCTCCATAACAAGGAAATGTTTATGAAAATTTCACTATTGGAAAAAGAGCATTTACCCCTTATATGTCTTTCACTCATACATCATTATACATACATTGGGTGAGGAGGATTTTACTGTGTGTCTCTTGTAGGCTGCCTGCTAAACTCTTTCTAAACTAGGAAGTGAAGCAGCATGGATGTTGTGAACACGGTGGGTTTCTAAGCACTTTTCACGTTTCCTTCCATTATGTTGGAGGATAAATTCCTGGCTCAAAGTTGCAATAATCTCTCCGAGGTAATAGGAAGACCAGTGCAGTTTACCCAGCAAAACGCTAGATATGAAATGACTTTTTCCCATGTAAAACTGCAGAGCATTTTGTAACAACTGTTACTAAAAATTACTGTTACTGGACTTGAGTAAAGATGGAGAGGAAGAGAGACTTTTGTAGTGTTAGAAACAGGAGTGTGCAGTACTCCACAGTCACACCCCCTATACACTCACACTGTAACTTTAAAACTGTCTGTTGAAGGATAAGATGTAGTTATAAGCCAGACCATCTTGGTTTGGACAGAAATTCTTACAGAATTATTAAGCCTTAAAAAAAGCAAAGGAGATTTATGCATCTGCATTTGACCAGTTTGGTTTGGAATCTGTTCATAATGGAAAAGTAATAAAACCATAAGAGACAGTGTCTTCTGAAGGCAGTCTCCCTTTTAAAACATCTAAACACCAGCTGCCGCACTTTGGATGAAATGACTCTAGAAAAATTTCCGATTAGTAATTTTGGGAAAGATTATTGGTATTGTTCCTTTTTCATTGATTATCAGCTAGTATATGTTTAAAGGCTTCTGTGGAATATTTTTCTGGAGATGCTGGTTTTGGGAAGAAGAATCCTCCAAGGGTTATCTGTTGAAGTCTCACACACAGACACATGGTGTTTGCTTAGCTACCAGTATAGCCTTCTGTACCGGAGAGGTACAGAAGATGTAATGGAGAGGTTAGGGTTTGGAGCCCAGGGTAGCTGGATGTGTGAGAGAAAGCAACCTCTTGGGACTGCCAGCAGCCAGGAAACCATGAAGAGGAAACACATAATAAACTTCACCTCTGAAAAATCAGACCTAATAACTTTGTGAGGCTCTGATTTCAACAGGAAAGCAAAAAGATTTTTATGCAAACCACTTTCTCTGTTTGTTCTCAACCACTTGAAATAGTGTTATGGATAAATAATTGCTTAAATATTTATGTATTTAAGAATAGAAACAACAAATGAAGGTTGGAGGTGGGTAGCAGACGCTCGCAGACAGAACTGTCGCGTTGTGCTCTCCAGGGGACAGCAAAATGGGCATTTTATTGCATTGGCGTCTTAACTTTCTTTCCACGGCCAGCAGTTCAAAGCACAGTTATTTTTATATAGTGAGAATGTGAGCAGACTGAGATGCTGTGTATCTCTCCTACAGGTATGCCTGCGGCATCTTTAGTGACCCCTGCTGATGTTATCAAGACTAGATTACAGGTGGCTGCCCGGGCTGGCCAAACCACTTACAGCGGGGTGATGGACTGCTTCAGAAAGATACTGCGGGAAGAAGGCCCAAAAGCTTTGTGGAAAGGAGCTGGTGGTATGGAAGTAATTGGTTTTTAACTAACCCTCTGGTATCAGGTAAATTTTTTAAGAATCTAATGGTATATGTTATTTCCCCATCTTTTTCAAAGCTCGTGTATTCCGATCCTCACCCCAGTTTGGTGTCACTTTGCTGACTTACGAATTGCTACAGCGATGGTTCTACGTTGATTTTGGAGGAGTGTAAGTATCATGTTAAATGTGCTGTTAAATTTCTGCTGCCTCTAATACTTCTCATCCAGAAGAGTACATAAATCTATATGTATCCTGTGGTGAAATATAAAGATTCAGGAAGGACAGTGTTCACAAGTTCATTTCAGAGGGGACCATGCAGCTGACTAGAATTCAGTGATTATTTTATATTGCATGTTTTAATAGATTTTCCCTGTTAAAACTCAGATTGTTATCTGGTTTACTCTTTTTGTAGAAAACCCATGGGATCCGAGCCAGTTCCTAAATCCCGGATTACACTGCCTGCTCCCAGTCCTGACCATGTTGGAGGCTATAAACTGGCAGTAGCAACATTTGCAGGGATTGAAAACAAATTTGGACTTTACCTACCTCTCTTCAAGCCATCAGCATCTACCTCAAAAGTCATCAGTGGGGGCCTGTAGGAGTACTGACTGGGATGTGGCTGTTGAATGGTTGGAAATGCAGTAAGAATGTCCCTTCTCAGATTGAAGCAAGGCTTCATCCCTTCCACAGCTGTCTCATTTAAATTCAGGTCAAGGCTTTTTTACATAAAGCCAAATCATTCATTTTCTGGATGAAACCAGATCATGTGGAATCATTCCTAATTATTCTTTGGAAGTCTGCCCACAAACCTATGTTTGTGTCTTTCATTTGCTGGGATTTGGTCAACACTAACATGATTTGGAGCAAGTCTGGAGGGAAATTGGGGGTCCCCTACCTGGGCTAGGATGATATCTCAAAGAGGCTACGGAAAGGTTGCCATGGTTCTTAAAGAAAAGTGATCTGAGAATGTTGAAAGCTGGTAGGAAGCCGAGTGTATATTTATAAAAGGAAAACACTGGAAGAAATGAAAAATTAAAAACAACAAATAGCCAGCCTGGATTCAAATTTTAAACATGCACAAACTTTGTCTCTGGATTATATTATGAAGCTCTTATGTGAAACATGTTTTTTCATAATGAAAACCACATTGGAGATGTTTAGTAATCATATTCTGTTGCTAGTACCAAGACTACTAGGGAGAAGTTTTTGCACTTTAAGGAAGTGCTTTTGGCATTTTTATTATATAGACAGAGGAACTGAGACACAATCCCATTGCTGGATGTGTTAATTTGGGATAACTACTTATGTGAGCACACGTGCTGATAACTGCCAATTTCAATAAACACTGTAAAAATAATGTGTACACCCTGGTGCTGCTACCAGCCTAATCCCATCCCCATAGTTGGGAACCCATTTGCTTTTAAAATCCACTTAATTTTAAATCATCTAAGACAAACTTCCTCTTAAGTTTGTATTTAATTTGGGGCGCCTTGTATCATGGTCAGAGGCGTATGTATTTTCAAAGGTAAAAATAAACCATTTTTAAAGCTGTCAATTGTTTTTATGTGTTTACATAGTAAATGGCAAAAATAATTACCATTAACGGGCTCTACACTGTGTTTGGGGACATTTTGTGTATATTGGCTTGACCTTTCAAGGTAATATGTGCATTTAATTTGATGGTTTAGAATGAGTAATAGAACATAACACTTCACTCCAGGTACACAAAGAACTGGTAAACTTAGACCTCTATCCTAATTATCTTTAATATTTTTGGGCAATTTCTATATGCATGTAAATCTGTGTCTGTGTTCATGTGAGCATGTTAATGTGCACATGTGTGAGTGCACATGTGTGTACATATGTGTTGGAGACCAGAGGTCAGCATTGGATGTCTTCCTTAATCGCTTTATTGAGACAGGCTCTCTCGTGGAACTTAAGAGCTCACCAATTTAATCAGCCTGGTTGGCCAATAAGCTCCAGGAATCTGCCTATTCTCTCTACACACAACCCCACCCCCATACATACATCAGTTCTTGGGTCACAGTTGCATACCTGCACTGGCTTTTTACATGAGTGCTGGGGATCCAAACTTAGGTCCTTATGCTTGCACAGCAGGCCCTTTACTGACACAGGCATCTCCCCAGCCCTGCTTTGGGCGAGCTCTTCTCATAGTGATTAAAGTAATATAAAGCTTGATTGCAAATTGGACACAAGATCTAGTGTGAAATGGTGTCTGTATTTTGTAATTTGACTCTGAGTCATACAAGAACCACATACCACTGTATCTAATTTTTGCTAATATTTTGACTACTGCTGTAATGATTTAGGGAAAGAAGTTTGTCCTGAATTTAGTGCCCATCTTCAGCAACAGTCATCTCCCAAAGATGATACTAATTGATGTACTGGAGGTTTGTCTTGGTCTCCAGGTGCCTCAGTCTCTGTTCCTGCAGGTCACCACTCAAAGTTATATTACAGTTGAAAGAGGCTGTCAACATCCATAAGTTTTTGATTTGCATATCTATGGGTACAGGTGTGATCTTCACCAGAAATAGGACATGTACATACATGTCTCCTTCTATGTCTGTCTGACCAAACCGAAAGAGTTCCCTTCTCCCCTCTGTGTAGTAACTGATAAATACAAACATTTGTGTCTCAAAAGCCAGTTCCAAGTGTGAGGCTGGTGCTGTGAGAAGACTCCGGTTTGGACTTTAGAGTGTGGAGGAAAGCCCTGAGTTCCTACATTCCTTTTCTTCACTTGCTTGAAATTTTATAGAAGATCAAATTTTCATGGCAAAAACACTGACCCAGAGCTCATAAAAAGTACATGGCCCTGCCTGCTTCTTTATGAGCTGTTACGTTTGATGTGAGAGCATCTTGGCTTTGCTTACACTTAACGTGGGACTAGGGGTGATTCTGTCTAGTGCACAAGAAACCAGAGACCTGGAAGCCAATGGAGATAGGGCCACATTGTCTCTGTTTCTTTGAAACCTTTCACTTTTTCTATTTAGATAGAGGCACTGACTTGAGACATTTTGAAGGAGGCCTAATTTCCATGACTTGTGCTCAGTGGGTGGCATGCCTATGACAGGCTCAGAATTGGACTGCAATCACCATGTGGTGAAAACCATGTGAAATTTGTTCTGGGTTTTCCTTCTTCCCGAAGTGACAGCGCAGTGTGTTGGTAGTGGCAGCTGCTGTCATTTCCTGGGCCTGTCTTCCTTAAGGCTAAGGCAACATGGGGATGTCACTCCCATGTGCTGCTGTACCCACCCAAGGGAACCAGCCTCTGCTCTGGAGCCTGGAGCCTTTCAGCTTGTGCTTGGCCCACCTCGTGATTACTTGGGGGGAGGCGGGGCAGGCCTGACTTTCGTAGCAGCTTTTTAAATTTTTTCCAAGGAGGGGAAAAATGTGAAGCTGACCACAAAGTGAACACTCTGATTCTTGGGTTCCAGTCGTGGCTGGGTTTCTTGAGGCTGGGTGGTGCACTGTCGCCAAGCCCCTGCTGCACCTCATAACCCACAACCATTTGCCAAGCTCCCTGGGGTCGTCCTCATCCCAGCAGCCAGGGTCGCACAGGGAAAAGTAAGAATTCTGGCATAGAAAAGAGTCATTTAAATGCTTATTACATTTCAAGCTTCACTTTTTACTTAGCTAAAATATTTACCATTTCTGGAAAACAATGTTTAAGTTTTTGTGCTTATATGTTATTTAATGGTGTGGCCTGGTGTAAACCTCAGGATGCTTACGTTTTGACAGTTCTGGAAATGTTTAGCAGCACATAACTCAGTGAGCAGGGAATAAAAACGGGAACAAATTGCGCTTGAAACTGTTTGTAACCTTTTCAGACTAGGTGTTCGGAATGCATGGCATGTTGAAGTTCTTCAGGTAGATGGAGCAGGGGTAGTTGGGCTCCAGTGATGAAATTTGATGAATCCTGTCTTAGGACCCTGTTTATCAGCCTTCCAAGTAAACTCTTCCCTCAAAGCCATCGTGCGCCTTTGACCACAGAAGCCATACTTGTGGGGATGAATTTGTACTCTTGCCACTGAGTAAAATCTCGTTTTAAATTCAGGGTAATCAAATGCTTTCAGGATGTGGATTTTTCCAAAGCTTTTTAAACGATGTGTTCCCTGGTTAGAGAAGTGAAATGTTCTTTCCACAAGTGTCCTTCCACAAAAGGGTGTGTGCCTTTTGTTTAACCTTTGGGGAACAGTCCTCCTCAAAATGTTCTCTGCCTTTGGTGTGGGGAAGACAAGAGGTACCTATCAGCACCCTCACCTGTGTTGGTCACAACAGTGGCAGCCTTTCCTTTGAAACCCAAACTATCATCAAGGAAAGGACTATTTTGAATCTCTTATTATACTATTTGGAGCAGGCACAGATAAACAGATGAGCTGATTGATTTTTGAGAAATGCAATTTCCTCTACTGTGTCATTTGTTTGTTTGTTATGGTACTGGGGATTAAATTCTGGGGCCTTAGAGAACATGCTGTATCATTGAGCTCTATGGATAGCCCTTTTTTACCTTTTTGTTTTGGAGTTAGGGTCTTGCCTTAAATTTGTGATCCTTCACTCTCAGCCTCCTGAATAGCTGTGACTACAAGCTTATGCCACGAGGCTTGGTCCCACCAACTCTGTCCTTGATAGATCTTTTCTGGTGCTAGACCTAAAACCTAACTAAAGACTGCGTATGTATGAATCACTTTCTTCGGAAATCTTAAGTAGATCTTTATTAAAGCAACTTAGCTATTTAAAATAGGGCTTTTTTTTGTTGTTTGTTTTTTTGTTTTGTTTTGTTTTGTTTTTTTTTTTGGTCTTTTTGAGACAGGGTCTCCCTGTAGCCCCAGCCGTCCTGGAACTCACTATGTAGACCAGGCTGGCCTTGAACTCACAAAGATCCGCCTGCCTCTGCCTCCCAAGTGCTGGGATTAAAGGCGTGCACCACCGCGCCCCGCTTAAAATAGGGTTTTAAAAAATGGTTACTTTGAGTCAGGGTGTGTTGTATAAACTAAGATAAATTTTAATTCTGTGGTCTTTGTGAAAATGAAATCTTTTTTTAAAAACTTAAGGTGAGTGTTACATGGGGTTTGAGATATGTTGTGGCAATAGCTTTTCTTATTGATGAATAAGTTTTTAAAGTTCATCATCTGTCTCTGAAGCCTTCTCTTAGAGGCTGCTGAGAACAGTGGGTTTGTTTTCAGAAGGGTTTGTTTTTAGCTAATGCATTAATTGACTCTGAGAAGACTCCAAATGGAGCACTGCTTTCATCTGCTAAGGTACCTAATAAAATAATGTTTGCTTTGAGATGCTGGGCTGTTAAAGGGGGATTTTGCCTTAGGCCAAACCACAGTCCCCTGGAATATCTAAACTAAGAAGACACAGGAATTGTGCTTGTCTGAGACTCACTTCTGGGTCACAGTCACCACTTTCTTTAACTCCAGTCTGGCCACCAAGGCTCCGGTGCCTACTGCTGTTTTGGACCTGGTTCTGCCTAAGGATATTTTGCAGTAGAGCCGTTATTAAGGAGATTTAAAAATGGACCTAAACTCTGAAACCAGACTTGTACAATGAGGTGGAAAAAAGCAATTCCAGAGTCATCATAATAATAACTTTTAAAAAGGCATCAAGTCATATATCCCACTGTTGTGCCCTTAGTTCCTGATCCCAGCTCTTGTGTGGTCTTCCATCGCTGCTTTCAGAGGACAGAGCCTATATATAGGTCTGTCCCAACCCCAGAGTTCTTGCTTTGTAAGGAGTCATTAAACAGGGGCTCTTACACACCAGGCTTGATCTCATTGTTCCTTCCCAGCATCCTTGAATGGGTTCACTGTATTCTCCATGTTAAAAATGAGAAGAGCAAGGCTGGCACTAAGTTTCTTGCCTGTAGTCCTTCAGCCAATGATGATCTTGAATTTGAATCCTGTCTCCTAGCATCCTCCTGCCCCTCTGAGAGTTTCTCAATAAAACTCAATGCAGAAAGTTCTTATGACAGTCTTTACCCAGGATTTCTGATGGCCAGTTCTCAGTATCACATGTACCATGCCTAGCTTAGAGTAAGAGGAAAGAGTAATGTCTGATTGTTTACCTAGCAAGTACATTTGCTGCCTCAAAGAATTCCAGGACTTGAGGACCAGGTGAACCCTGAAGCAGCCTTTTGAGGTTCCTCTTAAACAATTTTACAGCCTATTAAAGTCAGTAAAGAGAGGATTGAAGTAACTTGAAGCACTTGCCCCACGGGTGTAAAATCGGAAGGTAATGTGGAAAAAGCAGGGGCAAATTTACAAACTGTTACAGTGCAATGTGATACGAAGCCAACAATCAGATCACCTTAAAAATCTCTAATTAGAAAATGCCATTCTCTGACAAGAGTTGGAAATAATGGAAAACCAAGTTAAAAATAAATACCTATAGATACTTGGCCTCAAAGTGTATCTGGTGGGAATGGAGATAGTTTACAGAATGTAGGGGTTCCTGGGATGACTTTGGTCATGAAATCCCCACCACTGTGACTCATGGCAGAAAAGCCATACTGTGTTCTCAACAAGTTTCTTG